GGCCCGGCAGGGCAGCAGCGGCTGAGCACTGTTCAGCAAAGCTCCCCCCCCCCACGGTGTTGTTTGTTGATCCTTTTTTAATTATTATTATAAATCTGTGTCCCAGGCCAAATTAACCCAAACTAATTCCAAATGCGGGAGTGCAGACCCGTAAGGGGCCCTGCTCCTGGCAAACATGCTCCCCGCCTGCTGGGGCATCAGATGTTTCCAAACCCTTTGGCAGGCATCCTGTGTGCAGGCCCACGCCTGGAGACTTGGGGCTTGGATGCCCCTGAGTTGTGCTTGCTCTTGGCCATAAAGCCTGGGAGCGAGCGAGGGAGGACAGTCCCGTTTCCAAAAACTGGGCTTAAAGCGGTTGCACCCCGGCGGGTACTGAACTGCCGTGCGGATGAGGAAACCTGCCTGTACGGACACAGATACGTGGTGCTTGCCCTGCCAGGCTAAGAAGTGACTGCACGTGACTTGAGCCTTCGAGAGGCCGAGAAATGATCCATTTTTAAACTTGGTTTGTGACCCTTTTCAGAGAGTCGTGCCACCCACTTTTGGGCCGTGACCCACGAGTGTTTTAAGCAGCAAGCCATTCACGCGAGTGGCTTCGGGGCTCTCCGCCGTGCCGTGGGGTAAATCGTGAGAGCCCTGGGGTAAATCGAGGAAGGGCGCTGGGTGTGCCGTGCCCTCCAGAGAGTCCCTCGTCCAGCAGCAGCGGCCTGGACCAGGTCCCACTGCTCATCGGCAGGGATTACCCATGTGGCTTGGATATTTGCTTTGCTCCATCACGATCATCTTACTGGCATTGCGGGCTGCGGGTGACCTCAGGTTACAAGGAGAGTCTGCTCTCCCCTCGTTTCACACCACACTATTTATAGGGGACGGTTCAGCGTTTGTTGAAAGAAGGGGCAGGACATCGTCATAGATTCCTCCGGATCTTTTCTGATCCCAGAGATCTCATGCGGGGGGGAGGGGGTCCACCGTTCAGCCTTGTGGCAGTTCAGCTTCGTAGGAAAGAGGGTTAAAAAAAAGTGGGGCGAGGGGGAGAAGTCCAGGGTCCCATCACTGAGATGCACACCTGCATTTCCAGGAGTGCTGCAGTGGCAGCCTGCCCTCTGGCTCCTATTTCTCCCATGCAACTTGTCTGAAAATGGTTTGGGGGGCTGGGGCACATGACTGATGAGGAGAGACTGCGGGAACTGGGCTTATTTAGTTTGGAGAAGACAAGACTGAGGGGGCTTGGATAGTGAAGGGTAGTTGCAAAGAGGACCGACCTACACCACCGGTTCCCAAACTGTGGGTTGCAACCCCAAATGGGGTTGCAGCATCAGTGGATGGGGTCAGGGGTGGGGGCTGTGGGTTGGGAGCGAGGGGCCCTGCTGAGGAAACAGGGCCTAAATGGGGTCATGCTGAGGAAAAGTTTGGGCAGCGTTGAGCTGGGCTGTTCTCAGTGGGGGCAGACGACAGGACAAGGAGCAATGGGCTCAAGCTGCAGCGAGGGAAGTTGAGGTTGGATATTAGGAAAAACTTTTTCACGAGGAGGGTGGTAAAACACGGGCTCCCCAGAGAGGTGGTGGAGTCTCCACCCTCGGCGGTGCTGAAGACCCAGGTAGAGTGCTGAAAACCCTTGGGGTGAGATCGCTGGGGACGGTCCGGCTTGGAGCAAGGGCTCGGACTACATGTTACCCCCTGAGGTCCCCTCCAGCCCTCACGGTCTAGGACTTCAGCACAGGTAGCTGCCCCCTGCTCCGACTTGCATTTCTCCCATGCAAGTGATCTGCAAAGCTGGGCTCCCTGCCCTGGCCCACCACACTACAGCTTCTCTTTCCTCCAGGGGAGGCAGCGAGGGTGGAAACCCCCTTCCAGGAGCCCAGTGACAGAGAGAAAGAAAAACAATGTGTGTGTGTGCATGTGTGTGTTTATATATATTTTATATATGTACACACACATGCACACACACGTATATATATATGTTTATCTATGTGTGTGTGAGAATATATATATATATACACACACACACACATATATATATATACTTTTTACCTATCTATCTATCTATCTATCTATCTATCTATATGGGGATGTAGGTTGTAACTGCGTTGGCCTAAGGACACAGGCAGACAAGGTTCTTTGGATAAATCTGATATCTTTTATTAGACCAGCTCAAATTTTGATCTGGTCTAATAAAAGACATCAGATTTACCCAAAGAACCTTGTCTTGTTATATATATATATATAAATTTTATATATAGATATCTATATCTAGATCTATGTATATCTAGATACCTATAGATAGATAGATA